GGGCTATTTGTGACCAACCAGTGCATCCTTGTGCATAGTTGTAAGAAATGATCCCTTCTCCTAGGGCATGCTGTCTTCTAGGAAAGCAAATGCATTCTTTTCTCTCTCAGTTCTCTGCAAATCTAGACCTTTCTCATTAATTCAGTCTGAGACCATGATTCCACAAGATGGTACATACGGTTTTAGAGTATTCAGCACTAGGTCAGAAATAACATACTAGCGTGACACAAAGTCTTCAACTACAACTTCACTAGGTAGAACCATATTTGTTCAAAAGGATGTGAGGAGGTCATTTTCACGTTGTCAACAAAGGCATAATCTATTCTCCTGCAGCCAGCGTAAAACCAGCAATCATTTTTGTTTTCTGATTAATTACAATAAATTGTGTTCATTTAGTCATGCTCAGTCTGGATAAAATACATTGGTGGGCAATCTACAGCTCTGGAGGAAACAACCATTTCAGCCCACATTTCTCTTATTTCTCACATATCCTTGCAAGCTGGTGTGTGATAACCTCTGAGAGGGCTATTTTAACAATAGTTTCTCCAGATCTCACCTTATCAGAAGTCATCAAAAATAAGCAAAAAAATGCCAAAACAAAAAACAAATGGAAGAAGACTATGAAGCCCCTTCACCTTTCCTCCCCACTTTCTAAATTTAAGAGTTATTGATCTTGTAAAAAGTAATAGTGTGGTCAAAGTTCTCAATTCCTATCAAGTAGTTTTCTGATATCCTGAAGTATTTGGCTGGAATCTTTCTGATGTAATCTCTTAAAAGTTACATCTAGTCTAACCTGGTCACCAAGGGTGTCTCTAGAGTCAGCAGGGTGAAACACATTCCTCCAGAGGGCAATCCGCCCCATGAACATTTCATTTAGGATGGAACAAATCACCCTCTGATAGTGCCTTTCTCCTATCACTCCCATTAGTGGAGTCATGTCACTCATTGCTGGGTGGCTGAAGTTTGGTAACCGGGATTCCAGGATCTTTGGACCTAAAGACCATTGAGATTAGTGGTGATAAAGCAGAAAACAGCATATAAACTTCATTGTGTTTCAGTATGTAGAAGGCCTAGACCGCCTGTTTTTCCCCAGCATAAATAAATCAACTGCTGGGCCCTAATAAATGAAAACATTATGACAAAGCCATCCCACTCACCTTTCCTCCCCTCCACACCCTTTACAAGAACCTTACGCAGATTTAAGTAGCGCTTTTTTTAAGGAAGCAAATGATGAAAGATGCTGAATACCTGCAATTGTGACACAACTCGTCAGGTTAAACTCTGAGATCCTTATACTGTTTATTCATGCAGATTCTAGGGTGCCAGATGCTGAGGAGTGCTGAATGGCTGCTCAGTGGGAGTTGTGGTTGCTCAGCACCTCCAAAGAATTGGCACGTAAACTCCAGCCTGGACTTTGCTTATGGGAAAAACAAATCCAACCATCAGTCATGCAGGGTGTGCTTCCCTCCCTGCTTCATGAGCTGGCCTGGTGAAAATTCCTGGTGCTTATTGAAAGCATCATCTGATGTCACTCAACACCACTGGGGAAAACATAAATCAACGGGTAAGTATTCAGCACTCTCTCAGCATTGGCCTGATGTGATTAATTTAATCTGAGGTAAACAATTTAGTTATTACTGTTAGGGACCCAAATCAAGGGCTGGGACTTGTTATTCTAGGTAATGTGAAAAACAAGCCTTACCCAAGAGATCTCCAAGACTAAGATAAAGCTCTGGTAGAAGCTTGACAACAGTTACCTAATAGGAGTGGACAGGCACAATGAAGTATGGAATCTGAAGCGCCTGAAAGGCATGTGGCGAGGGCTGTGCCGACCTCAGCAGAAAGCTTTTCTCTGGCAGTGGAGTAGGGCTGCAATAACAGGGACAGCAAGGGGATCCCGGATGAGGTTGCAAGGACCTACAGAGGGGTCGATGCCCAAATCCCATTGACACTGAGGAACCTATTTCTGCTTTCAGGATCACTCCTGGTTCAACAGAAGTTGTCTTCTGTAAAAGTCCAGAGCTGAAATCTTTGTCTCGGGCAATCCCAGCAACTCTGAGTTGTGTGGGCTGCCGTCGGAAGGGGGGGAACGGATTTATCAGAGTTGCTCCTGGCACCTTTTGATGGTCTCTTGCCTCACATCACATGAAGATAGCTTACCTCAATCACTGCATGACTCAGAGCACAAATACTGAAGTGTCCCAGGTGGGAAAATACGCAGCTAGAAGCTGAGGAACGGCCCCATTGTCAGCTCTATGCTTGCTTCACTCCCGCCTGGGTGGGATGGCAAATGATTGCTCTTGGAAAGGCACATCGAGGTATTGCAGACTGGAAGCCTGCTGAGTCCAGCGGGGTGCAGGGAGTAAGTGCTTCATCCAGCCAAGCCCAGTGGGAATATGCCAGAGCTCCAACAATGTCTTGCTGACACAGGAAGATGTCATCACAGCAGAATATATAGGAGTTAACACATTATGAAATACGGTTTTGGCAGTGATGTAGATAAAGATTGTTTTGTTTGAAATGCAGTGTTGGTTAACAAGGTAATGCAGTCACCTTGCCAGTCTAAGTTCTTAGATTGTGCTTTTTCGCTTCTAATATGTTAGGTCCAAATCCTATGAAACAAGCTATTTAACTTTAGGCTCTTATATAGTTCATTGCTTCAAAGTTAACCTTAGTCCAATGTATGTTTCTGGATAGTGACCGGTTGGAATAGCAAGCAGAAGTGCTAAAGGAAGCCCAACTTGCACAGGAAGAAAAATAACAAGCTGACACTGTGAACTTTTTAAGTTAAAAAAAATATATAAAAATGCAGGAAATTGTTTTTAAACCTCTCACTGGGCCAATTCCTTTGCAGAGTGAGAAGCAAGGAGGGCTGTCCCATGCCTGCTTACACACATGGCTGAAGTCTCAGTGCACAGAATTGCACAACCAATTTCAAAATGACCTTTAGCTAGTCCCGGTACTCTGGTTGTCCTTCCAAAAATAAAAGGCAAAATTTTCAACACAACAAAAGACTAACAAACCACCTACACTCCTGCATCTACTGAGATCAAGAGAGCGCAGAATCCCTTAAACTGGGAAAGGCTGGCCCCGTATCTACTGCTGATACCTGGCTCTTGCCATCAGGTTGAAAGGTTTGCATTCAGCACTTTCCAGGGCTGAGGGGCAGATCTTCTGTAATCGGCACTCAATTAGCTACCTGCTTTTTCAGCTAAGACCTGTCCCCATGGGCTCGACTCTCGACAATACTTATGCATAAGCCTAAGGGATGACCTTCTCACCAGCATTGCTAAAAATGGACTTTTGTGTTCAAGTAGGCAGATGTTTCTCCCAGATTTTTCACCAGTTTTGTGCTTTCATTAAAGTACATGGTAAAGTTAGGAAGCAAAAGCTGTATTCTGCAAGATCCTTGTCCGTAAAAATCCTTTCTGAGCCCTGTGTTTTCCAGTGAGTAGCAGTGAGTGCCTTGCTTTGAAAATATGAATATAAGTCAAAGATTAGTCCACATTTCAAATATTAAAGCAGATTCTCAGACAGTATTTCATTGGAACAAGTCGGGCTATTCCAGCCTAAAATAACTGACACTGTGGGTCTAAAACAGGAGCTATGAACTCTAATTAGATATAAAGAAAGAAATAGTGAGCTACTTCTTTTCATACCTCCATGCTGTCTTGTCTGTTCATGTCACAACACTTCTAAATAGGTAGTAACTGGAATGAAGCCCAGTAGCCAATTTTTACTTAACATACCATTAGTTCTTACTAATTTGTGTGGTACATTTTGACATTAAATACTTACAAAAATGCTTAGGAAAATAATCCATCCCGTGCTTCAGTTCCTCACAAGCATCCCTGCTTCATTGTTTGTTCCTGGATATGTCTGTTAGCATCACTGCTTTGGTAACTCTCCATTTTAGGATACTATTATAAATGATCGAGATGTGTTAAAATTCAGAGGGCACTGCTCTGTCATTTTCCCTCTCTCGAGTACTATATTGACATCAAATAGTTCTCCTGAGTTCCCAAAGTAAGGTGAAACCCTGTACAGAGAAGGCTGGCAGTGTTGGCTATTTTAATTTTAAGAATATACAATAATGTGTGTGGCTATCTAGAAATACAGAGGGGAAAAAAATCCTGTGTACTGCACGTTAAACTGTGATTTTAATGATGAAGGCACAAGGCATCCCTTAGCTACAAAATCATCCACTTTGGTGGGGTTTATCTTTAATAGGATTTCTGATGCTATCACAGAGCTGGTCTTCATAATCTGCCAAAGGGATCTGGAAACCCTGGAACTAGCAAACAAAATTCTGCATATCATGCTGACCTGTTACATATTCAGTTAATTAAAATAAATTACTACAATTCCTGTGATTAGCAGCTGCAGCGTGTCCAGATTCCTTTTTTTAATGTAAGTGTATGATACCTGTGCAAATAAAAGCAGAATTTGGCCTGGGATATAAGCAGAAGCTTGTAATTCTGTATTATTTATTTCCTGTTCTTGGGCTGAGTGAAATTGAAGTAAAATAAATATTAAAATCCTTTAAATGAAAAAATAAATAAACCTCATGCAAGGCAGATTTCACGACAGCAGAACAAGTATCATTTTGAGTGGCAATGCACTCACAATAGCTTTTGGCTTCAGTCCACATCAATCTGGAGGCCCAGCTACACAAGCCAAGCTGGCTCGGGATCACTTCTAAACAGGCAGTTATCACCTTCGGTGCAATAATATTCCAGAGGTCCAAACCAGGACGAAACCCCAGGCATTGGTGCGGCACACTCACCCGGCGTAATTCGTCCTCTGCCACTGTCCGCGGCAAAAGTCCCTCCGACTTCTCTGGCATTAGAAGTCTGGCTGGCCTCCACGAGTTTTCATGCTCCCTGTCTTTTCCCCTCTTTCCCCTTTCATTCTGTTTTCTGAGTGTTATGAAATCTTAAGGAATTTAATGCAATTCACCTTTTTCCTCTTCCACTTGTCAACCTTTTCTTCCTTTACAGACTGGTTCTGAACCATCCCCTCAAGGACGAGTGGAGGAAGCTCCGGTGAGCCATGAGAGAGGTGATGAGCCGGCTCGTCATGTCTTCTCCTTCTCCTGGTTGAACTCACTCAATGAATGATGACTCACCCCGGCTGGCTTCTGGTGTGCTTCTCCTCGGAGGGACTGCAAGCGCCGGCAGCCCGGCTGCGAGCAAGAAACTGGCCTGGAAAGGGGCATCCGAGCAGGTTTCGTTCCCCAGGAACTCAGTTGACCTCCACATCGTACCCAGCCCTCGAGATGACAGTCCTGAGAGGGATGGGAGCGTGGGGGCAAACTGCTATCCTGTATTGTAGTCAGAGTGTTTTCCAATATTTTCTTGTTTCCAAGGGCAGAATAGCATCACTACAGCTGTAGGCTGAGCACTGCTAGTGCTGTGTCATTCACTTTTTGGCACGTCCCTGTGTAGGTGTAAATGCTTCACCAATGTTGTTAGCTAAAATGCTGGTAGGATATTCACCGGCGGCATCCTTTGCCAGCACAGCCTTTCTCCCCGGTACCCTCCCACGTCCCTGCTCGTCGGTGCTGGTGACTCCAGTGACACTATCGCACCCTTGACACCCCCAAGTCAGGGCTGTATCTCAACACCTCCCTGCAGTCACTCCTAGTCCGTGGGGTACCAGTGACTCCCTGGCTGCGGAGGCTGAACACAGGAGGGAAGAGGGAAGCTCCCACTTCTTCCCTTGTGCTTGTTCTTCCTGCTAAGCCACGAGAGACGACGCTCACGTACGCAGGTTATTGTAGGGAAGGTGCTGAGGGACAGGGACGGGGAAGATGCGCAAAGCACTGGCCACCCACCGCGCATGGATGCGGGACACAGCTCTGAGCCAGTGGGGCGGACGCTAGAGTGCTGCCCACGTCTGTTCGGCCGTTATCCGTGTCTGCGCCTTCTCAGTCACCCCTGTGTGTAGGAAAAGGGCTGTGTCCTTGAATGAAAGCAGAATGTGGTGGGGGGATCCCAGGTCCCACGTGAGGTTTAATTTGAAGACCCCGTGGTGCGCTGTAGGAAAGGCGTCTGACGGATGTCCTGTTCCGTGTGCGTTGCATGCGTTGGGAAGTCTACGAAATCGAATTTGTGTCTTAAAAGAAGCTGTACAAGGGGTACTGAGGGCGACCCTCCTGTCACTGGGGACAGGGTGTCAGCACTCACTCGTGTTCAAGAGAGATTGGCAGGGTGCCGGGAACGCTCGGTGCCGTGGGGTTAAGCGTGGGTCTTTCCAGGGATCCCGAATCAGACCCTAAGGCAGCGTTTTGGCAGGGGATTGTGTCGGGGCATAGGGCTGCGCCCTCGCAGGTCTGCAGGGCGGGTAGGGCAGGCTGTGAGGGGTCAGCCGCGGCCTGGCCATCCCTCACGGCAGGGCTGGGCCACGTCAGCCCTCATTTGTACCTTTTTTTCCCTCATTTTCCCCTGGAAAATGGTCCTGATGGAGAAGTTTTGGGGGTGCTGCGTAGATGAGGTCGGTGCAAAGCTTTGGGACTCACACAGCCCAGAGACCACCACCACAATGCTTCCGGTTGCTGGAGGAGCTTTTTCCCTGGGATTTTGTCTGGGTCGAGGAATTTCCTATTTTCTCCCTGTTGTCCTGATGGATTTTCCTCTGCTCCTCCCGGGAAGTTTCCCCAGATACCCTGGCACCTCCCTAGCGCCCTGGCAGGCACTCGGCTTGGGCACCACTGCCGGAACGGGGGGGACACTCACACCTGCCCTTTTGGAGTGCGGGGGGGATGTGCAGAGCTGGAAAGGGAACGGCAAAGGGACGCGGCAGCTCCTCGCCGGTTTCCCGTCCCTGCCCGCCGGCTGGAGGAG